AGTTGCTGGGCTCCAGCTGGACTTCGTGCCATGGATCACAACACTTTGGGCCTGGTAGTTCAGCCAGTTTTCAGTCCACCTCCATTCCTATCTAATCTGTACTTTGTCAACTTGTCTATGAGGATGTTGTGGGAGATAATGTCAAAGGCCTTACTAAAGTCAAAGTAAACAGTATCCACTGCTTTCCCACCATCCACCAAGATAGACGCCTTGTTGTAGAATGCTATCAGTTTGGCTGAGCATGATTTCATATATTTGGAAATGGTTTCCAGGTTTAGTTGCTCCAACACCTTCCCAGGGATTGAGGTGAGGCTGATCAGCCTGTAATTGCCCGATCCTCCTTCTTCCCCTTTTTGAAGATAGGAGTGATGTTTGCTTTCTTCGAGTTCTCAGGAATCTCTCCCATCTGCCAGCTCCATCAGCACTCATGGATGCATCCTGTGAGGCCCAATGGATTAATGTACCTCCAGTTTGTTAAAGTGCTCACTAACCTGGTCCTTCTCTGCTAAGGGTAAGTTTTCTTTGCTCCATACTTTCCTTCTGGTCTCAGGGTCCTGGGATTTCTGAAGGCTGGTCTTGCTAGTAAAGACTGAAGCAAAGAAGGCATTGAGTACCTCAGCATTTTCTGTGTCATTTGTCACCAAGTCCCCTGCCTCATTCAGCAGCAGGCCCATGTTTTCTTTAGTCTTCCTTTTACTGTTTCTGTACTTGTAGGTCCTTTCTTGTTGCCCTTCACATCCCTTAACAGACTCAACTCCAAGTTGGCCTTGACTTTTCTAACCCTGTCCCTGCAAGATCGAAAAGCAGCTTTATACTGCTAGATCAACTGTTCCTGCTTCCACCTCTTGTACACTTCCTTTTCATGTCTGATTTCAGACAGGAGCTCCTTCCTCATCCATGCAGACCTCCTGCCATCTTTGCTTGTTTTTTCCCCCCATTGCTTTCCTGTCATTCATAAAGAAGGCTGGGACAGGCGAGGGAAGACCAACAAGTGATCCTTTTTGAATTGATTGCACAGGAGCATGAATTTTAAGAATGCCAGGGACCCTTGAGGATTAATCCCCTAAGCTTTGTCCATGGGTGGAAGATGGGCCCAAAAAGTACAGCAGAGGTCTTTACACATGCACTTTGCAGCATATTACAAAAGGGAACCAGGTTCTTCTGTCAGAACAGGCTGCAAGTTGACTAAGCGGATTTGTCATGGAGTGATGGGACTCACTATTTTCTATAAATGGGTCATTGTTACCTTTATCCCACCCACTCAAAGCACACTGAAATCACCTCCTGTTAATGCTAAAAATTAGAAGGCATCATCATCGCAAAAAAGAGATAATCTCTGCTATTTTGCAGAGCTTTTTGTGGAGTCTGTTACCAAGGCCATGAGTAAGTAAATAACATTAAATGGAAGTTACTCACAGGCTATTGATTGTTTAGGTTCTAAGTGAAGGAAAAAATAAACTGAGACAATTTGCTTTGCTGAACTTTGTGGTGATCAAAGACCCGTTTTACACCACTGATGAAATAATAGGAAGGGGAATAAAAGGAGAGGAAGGAAGCTGATGAAAGTCAGTAAAGGTGCTGGAGGCTGCAGCTGGCAAGCGAAGCAACCTCTGAGAGCTGTTGTCATGGGTGGAGGAGTTGGCAGAGGGCCAAGGTCTGTTTGTGAGGTTTGATCCAAAGTGCAAAATGAAGTCAAAAGGGCTTCTTTTGATTTACTTGCTTTACTTGCATCATCCTCACCCTTTGGGTATCTTGTTAAGAGTTTTCTTTACTGGCAGTCAAAATCACAAGCCCTGGCTGCTAATTTTCAACTTGCCCTCACTCTCTGCTTTCCCTGTTCCTGCATGAAGTTGAAATATTAGGATGGGTCTTGTTTTCTCAGGCCAAACATGCCAATGCTGCACTGCGTGTGAACCCTGAAGAGGGGGCACACTGTGACTGCTCCGTCCTTGTCCTCATGGGAGCGATGATCCAGAGGATGTGGGCAAGTTAATCAATTACACTCCTGCAGGCGGGCAGAAAAAGACCTGGGGGAGAACAGATCCCGTGGCTCACAAGCGGCTTTTCAGTTCATGGACTGTGATCATCCATATTTGAAAAAATCAAACCAGGTAACCAGAGCTGGCTTCCAGAAAGCAGAACCTGAGGCAGGTGGTTGGGCCAGTGTCTGCCTGCATGGGGGAGGTGGGAGGTGCCCAGGCCCTACGTCCCTCAAGTGCCAAATCTGGTGTTTCTCTCAGCAGCGGCAACAATAGCTCGATAGTACATCAGCTTTATGCAAGCAGTTTGTTTGACCCAATCATTGTGGTTTTTTATTCCTCAGGGCCTCAGCCCTAGGTTTCATTTCTAAAGTAGTAAAAGGAGTAATTAAGTTTAACTTCAAGAGGCCCTCAGTGTCTTAAAAGGAAGTAGAGGCTGGTGGGAAGGACAATTACTTGAGGTACGAAAATACCTGGTAGGAGGAAACGGTCAGTGAAAATGTGCTGCTGTCACTTGAGAATTAGACCTTGTTTTAGATGTAGTGTCTCAAAATCAGAATAATTCTAAGCCAGAAGGTATTTTAGACACCTTTTCTTTGCATGTTGTCTCCCCACACCCTTTTCCCCCAAAGAATGAACTGTCTTAGGAGGTCTGCGGTCCAGTGTGTTTTACCTGTATAAAAAGCAGACAGGGACAAATTCAGCCCCATCACACTCAAGACACATGTTCTGGAAGGAAAGACAAGACACATGTTCTGGAAGGAAAATGTTTCTAACTCAAATGGGGACATGTGGGAGTTGCCATGTCCTGGGGAAGCAGATAATTTTGGATCTCTGCCTTCATTTGTTTATCTCACTGGCTTCTGCAATGCTGACTGTGGAAACCGTGAGTGATTTCAGCTTTCCATTAACTATCACCTACGACCTAGTTTAGTATTTCAGTTCTGTGTTGCTTGTTATTTTAGTTCCAAGATTAATGCCTCCCTGGAGGAACTTGATCAAAGTGGGGGCTAGACAGTTAACAGAGTACTGTATGTGTGTCAGACAGTCATGCTGGGGTTTCCAAGAGTTGCTGAGGTTTGAATAGGTCTTCCTGGGACATGCAATGGATAAGCCAGTGAAAGTAGCCAACCAAGAAAAGTGAATAGCCAGATCAAAACTGTTATCACAACAACTGGCTGGAGACTTTGATGATGTGACAAAGCTGATAAGGATGTCATCTGACAAACAGTACTGTTGGGTTAAAAAGGACAGTGAATATGTTGGGGAAGGCTCTGAGAAGAATGACAATAAGCCTAAACAGAAATCATGGCAGTACTTCTGGGTGTATTCCCAGCCACAATCCAGCTCCCTATCTAGTACAATGTGCAGCAGACAAAATTCCACTCTCTCTACTTGAGAAACTGGAGGCAAAAAGTAGTCTAGGGGACGAGGTCTCCAGAAGGCAGTAGGGGGTGTGTGCCCAGGCCACTTTGCATGCAGCATGACTGAGTCATTCATCTGCCTAAGCACGCCCCTGCATGAGAAGAAGGTTCCTGTACTTTTTCTGATGCAGGCACAGAAAAAGCTTGAGACCAGCTAGGAAACAGACATAGGAATTGAGGTCTACCATTTATATTTTTACCTGTTGATTTCATGGAGCAGCTTATTTTGTGTGATGGTTAATGAAGGGAGAGACTGGATTTGAAGGAAGTCGGTGTGCTTGGCTGTTTCACATGTCCCTACAAAAGTAAACTGTAAACCTTTACCAGGAGGTGAAGGGAGCAGCCAGCAAGCCCAGAGAAGAGAGCACTTTGTCACTCAGGGCTGTCTTCCTGAGCTCTTGCTGGACGAGAGCAGCAGGCTAGGGCCACACTGACTTGTCAGTTCAGATTAGGACCATCCTTGTGAAGTGAATCTCCCAATCGCCCCCATGCTTTTGTTCACATAGTGGAGCACTGGGTTCCTCTTGGGTGAGCCTAGCCCAGAAGATGCGCTCTAGGAGGGCATCCAGCAGACTTTGACTGCTAACAGGCATTCACCCCATGGGGCTGGACTGGTGCTAGTCTAGGGAAGACTCCCTGTTGTCCCCATGCACACTGTGCGGCTCTTGAGTCCTCAGCACCAACTGCTTCACCCCACTGCTTCACTGCTCCTGCTTGCTGCACTACTATGTGAACATAGTCTAAGCCCAGTTTACTGCAGACCTACAGATAATAGGTCTCTTTAGACATAATAATTGTGATTATTATAAGATTTTAAGTTCTGCTATTTCTAAAATATGCTTCATCTCAGGCAAAACACTGTTCTATTTCCCACTTTCTATGTATAATTTTAGGTATATGAATATATAAGGTATAGGTATAGTGTATATATATAATGTTAGGTATATGGATATATGTTGAAGCTATAGCAGCATATATGTGTCCAGGTAACACAGGAAGAAATTCATCCTAGTGCTACCTCTTGCATAATAGCCTCCCTACCCCTAGCAGCTCTGCTATCTCTGTCACAAAAAGGCCCACAACTTCTGCCTCTGATTTGGGGACAAAAGCATCTCAAGCCAGCTGAGGTGCACCAGGCATGTGGAGTGGCAATATAAACATCCGCTAGCAGGAACAGCTTCTGATTTGTAAATGGGGAGGCAGGCTGTTTGTACCTCTCCTACCCTCAGGTCACTGGGCACTCTGAGGTCAGTGTCTTCATCCATGATATGATGTGGCCACAGCTATGCACAGCTACCTGGTCCTTGTTTGGAACAGGGCTATGGTCACCTCTGATTGATACAGCTGTGAAAAGATAAAGCAAAGTGCTGACAAAAGAGATACTCATATTCTGAGAAATTAATTTTATTTTCTTTAACATAGTATGAAGAAGGTGTGCATTCCAAAGTCCTACATTTCTGATTTGTTTATAGCTAGAGATATGTAATTTTTTTATTTCCTGTAGTCATTTCCTCCAGTTCCCTCCAGCCTCTGGTATAAAGTGATCAAATAGTAAAGTCCAGAGATTACAATTACTCATCTCTTCACAGTCTGTTGTGTCATTCCAACCATGAGACTCATCTTTCAAGCTTGTTCAATAATCTTCACACTCGGCAACCTGGTGGCTTCTCAGTCGCAATCTCTTGGTAAGTTCAAATCCACAGATATTTATTTAAGAAACTGATATATTAATTAGCAATATTTCTGTGTGTACTTTACCTCATGTGTTACAATATTCAGTACTTTTTTTGGTGAAAAGAATCAACCAAACAGAAATTGATATCCAGCAGAGATGAAAGTGGATTCTTAACCCCCCCCCCAAACAATAGTGATTATGATAATAACAGATTTCTATGAAAGTTTTCTAGTTAAAAATCAAGGCAGAACTCGCTAAGCTTGTGTCTGTTCTTTAAGCAGGACTACTTACTGTCTAAGGCATAGGTTATAACAGAGTAGACTGCATCCAAAAAAGACTAGCCTTCACGTTGAACAAAGATGGATAAAACAGATTCCAGGTAAGACTGCAGCGCTTGGTATTCTGGAATAATGAACATGATGGGAAAATATCCAGCAATATCTTGCACCTGAGAAAGCATCAAGGTAAAAATACTGTTAAACAGCAAAATTAATAAAGACATCAAAAACTGGTTACTTGCTACCTAAATATAAGAACATCTATTTCATGTGTTTGTCTGCAATGCCATTACTTATAGCTTGCCAAAGACAAATGGATTCTTAAAGAAATCAAACATAAAGCCCAACACATAGGCCGATAATCTAATCTTCACTCTTGTTAATTTATCACAAGTTCCCTGTCATTCATTTTGTAAGGAGAAAGAAATACTTTAAAGTTATGCTCTCGTCTTATCAACCTATAAATCAGCTCTCTGTTCTGCTGTACGTACGGTAAGTACCATTTTTGGCGATGCAGCATCACCTGATTCTCCAGTGTTAATTGCTCCTGTGAGTCACTGGCTTACCTGTGAGGGGACATGACTCTTCTCTGTCCTGAGATGGCAACCACCTATAGCCATGCTGTACCAATGGCATGACTTTGTGGAACAAAAGTTAAAAATTACAGTTCTGGTGCTTATTTGGTGCAAAGTGTCATGATGCTTAGCAATCGTTGGCGATCTTCCGAAAAAAAACACTCAGTTTGATAGGTTACAAGTATTATGCTATAAGGATTATGCCTTGCCTCAAAATGTCTATAAAAAACTCTCTCTTGCTGTCTTGTTCCTTCCCTTGAAAAGAGGTTTTCTATCCAGTCTCTGTCCTGTGCGTTCAATTCAGCAGTCTTGTGCACAAGGAGTTGCACTTTCGCCTACATGTGTTCCTATTAATGAAATGAAACTGTTCTCATAGATCAGTAATATTAAGGGTAACTAAAGACTGTAGGCTCAGATCTGGGTCTTGCTCTCCAGTAGTTTCTATACAGTATGCTGCAATATGTGGAAGTTCAACATGTGGTTACTTATCAGGTTTCATCAGTGTAAGGAAATCAAAAGTGGTTTTTCTTCTTTGTTATGTTTCAATGAGGTTGCAACTGTTCCAGTACTTGCATGTTCCATTCTGTTATCTTTGCAGATTGACATTCTGCCTCTCCTTTTTCTCTTTTCTGATCTGTTCCATGACATTCAGCCTTTTTAAAATGTTCTCCTTCAGTAGTATTTTTTCTCAGTAATGAACTTTGAAAGGTGGCTTAGAGGGGGAATGTACTTGCTCATATTCTTGCTTGAGGTTGTGTCTGCATAATCTATTGCTCAAGGAAATGCCTTTTTTTTCCCATGTAAAAGTACTTTCTCCACACACTATAGTGGTATTTTCCATGCTTCTCTGTCCTGAGAAGGGCTAGGTGCCCAGCAGTGCCTGGGAGGTTAAAGACTTGTGTGGAGCCCTACCAGTCCCCATCTGGTTTTACCGAAGATGTAGACCTGGATAATTCTCTCTGAAGCTCCAGGGCACTGGTATGTGTCCTACAGCATGGCAACATGCTGCATACCTAACTAGACCAGCAGGCCATCCTCAGTCAGAAAGTTGCTGCCACCCCTCTTTAGCCCAAGGACTGCCTATTCATAATATTTTTGACCTTTCCATCTACCCATTATCATAATACAAAGAATAATGATAAATGTGTTGTTTTGGTCTATTGTGTGCCTCTAGGATCATGAATAGAAGAATGCTTTAAATAATTATAATTACTGTGGAAGAGCTGGCACATTAGCTGAGAATGATCCATGGTGTTACAGGTGGATTCATAAAAATTCCATCATAAAGAAAGGGAGAGAAATGGTCCGCTCTATTCTCTTTCTCTATATATCTTTCCATTAACAAAAGATATGAATGATTCTGCCTCCAAAAGTATAGGTGTAGGTGCTTCAGAAGAATGCTTTAAATAATTATAATTACTGTGGAAGAGCTGGCACATTAGCTGAGAATGATCCATGGTGTTACAGGTGGATTCATAAAAATTCCATCATAAAGAAAGGGAGAGAAATGGTCCGCTCTATTCTCTTTCTCTATATATCTTTCCATTAACAAAAGATATGAATGATTCTGCCTCCAAAAGTATAGGTGTATAGGTGCTTCAAAAAAAAAAAAAAAAAAGGAAACTAAACACCTTTTCAGTTAAAGGCAAAGGAAAGGTCATCAGGAGGAAACACCATATTTCAGATAACCTGTACATATACTCAGAGAATGTGATGTCAATTTAATCCCAACTTTAAAAACTTCACTTAGGCTATGCATCTTTTCATATTGAAACGTGACTTATGCAACATATACATGCTATAATTTGAAAAGATGCATGCAAATGTTTACTGAATGTTTATACAAAACACAACTCGTACCACATGCAAATAGCCTACAAAACTCATGAAATCAGAAAGCACAGTAGAAAATTGCCCCAAGCAGAGCTCGAGAAAGAGTCTTTAATAATAAAAGACTGATAAAGCCTTTTCTATCCTACATAGCTAGTTAATTATGTTAAGACTGATTTCTTATGAAGTTCTTAAAAACTAAAGCACAGGAAAGAATATGTATATATCACCAGATAGTGTGTTACAATTTCTGTTCCATTTCTATTAAATAGCTCTATTTATTGTTAAAGTATTTAATTATGTTTTACCTTCCATGTTAGTACATAAATAACTGCAGTTGCTGGAGTTTATATTTAAATGTTAAAATCCCAGAGTTTCAATTTGTAATATGTAGGTTTTTTTCAGAAAAAGGTTCTGATCCTAGAAAGATTTATATGTGTTAAGTTGATGCACGCTGAGTAATCCTGCTAAAGTCAAGTGGATTACTCAGAGTGTGCAAAGTTAAGTCCATCAATAAATCACTGCAGGACTGAAGCCAAACTGATATTCTTCTCTGTCACCCAAAAAAATATGCATTGCCAAACCCAAGATTTAGTGTGCATCTCTGAATTGCAGCCTCTAATAAGTAGTATAGAGCTATCATAATATAACTGAAAAATAGAGAATAATGAGTGTTGTCCAAGGTTCAGAATGAATTGGTGACTTCTGTTGCCTTCCAACAGGCCAGTCAGATCAGAGTCTCAGGTTTTACTTAGTGTCTACTCCTTAGTGTGTGGAAATCCCATGTTGTCCCTCTGGTCTCCTTATTATCCATCTCTAGAGCCAACCACACCTCAACTCACCCACTGCGAGTTTGAAGAGATCGAACACCCCATTAAAGGAACTTTATGGGATTCAGGGTTTTGATACTGGTGTTCTTTTTGCGTTGGAATTGAGGGAAAATGTGGCACCCTGAAAAAAGCTTTCAAGAGTTGGCCTGTATGGAGAGGGAAGAATGGATTCCCACTTTACCAAAACCTTTACTGTCATTTCTCTGCTGGCAGTGTCACAGTTGTGGGATACATAGTCACAGGTTCAAGGAGCTTCCCAAGCACACATCACCATTAAATCTAAATACTGGCATAAATCTAAATAGTTTTTCTCAGGTGCATACAAAAAATTTGGATGAGCAAATTCTGTGTGATCTCTCTCACAATTAATGAACCAGTGCTATCTGTGTTAATTCCACCAATTTCCCTATAAACATAACTTAAAAAAAAAAGTTATTTATACTGCCCAGTTAAAGAAAATTCATTCAGAAAGACTAAGCAATACAATATTATTTTACCACTCTGAACTTGGAGGGATAAAACTCATAGCAGTGCAGTATTTTCCTCTTGGAGGTATTTAAAACAAGCTTTTCCTCTCCTTTCTGCTCTTCTTTTAATGGTGTTGTCTATTTAGGTTATAAACTCCCTTTTTCCTCTTCCTCCCTTTTTTCTGTACCTGTACAGCCCTTGTGAAAAAATTGACTGAACGATTAGAGCCATTTTTCATAGCAAATTCTACAAGATCCCCCAAAACTTTTACAGATCATTTGACATCTGCACGCACCTACTTTTCACCGGTAAAGTTACCTCTTCGCTTTACAAGTCCCTTCAGACTTCAGATACTAGCAGCTCCATGGTACTGAGCAACCTGAGACCAGTCTCATATATAAACCGAACCTGCACCATTTGCTTCACACTAGAAATCAATGCAAACAGATCTTTCGCATCATGGGCCAACTGCTTCAACCTCACAGCTGGACAGCAATGGGATAAATGCTGGGTGTTGAGCTCACCCTCCAAAAAATGGAAAAACCACTGTTGTGTTTTTCAGTGGGGCTGCCCAGGTGCCCAAGTCCAAGTGAGGGTTTTGAGCTGGCACCCTTCGTCTGGTAAGGGTCCTGGCACAGCCTGGATTAGTTGGCTATGCCTGAGTTAGGACTCTCAGATACCCACTCTTTGTTATATCCTACTGGCAAGACTGCATGCCTCTCTGCTTAGCACATAGCCTGTTTGAAATCTTTTTGTCAAGCACAGGAAGACGTATGTGCACAGCTCTCTGCAGGGATGTTAAGCCACCTTCTGAGATTAACCTGAAGAATTTCGTTCATGCTTGACTTAAAAATTGATTTAAAAACATGCCCTAAAACCAGCATTTTGCCGTCTGTCACTGTGCCAAACTATTGTGCACATAGAAACAGCGTCATAAATTAATTTTGAAATTAATTATCCTTGAAAATACGTGATTAAGAAAGCAAGTACTCTTCCTGGTTTTATTTTCATAATTGAAGCATAGACATTAACAGTTCTTTCTCAAAGCAAAAATATCTGCAATCAGACTAATTATCAAAAAGTGGAAAGTACATATTTTGTTGCTTCTAAAAGGAATTGAAAGGATTCGTTCTATACTCACAAAAATGATCTCAGGACAGTACAGTATTCTCCATTCACTAACATTTATATTTTTTTTTATAATGTTAATTTTCTTTAAAGATGGAGAACGTAATCATACACTCAAATGTGCATTAAATATATGTTTAACTATATTTATTGAAAATCTAATTCCAAGTAGTCATATGGATTTCAGTTACACTAAGCATAACACTAGATA